AAAAAAAAAAAAAAAAAAAAAAATTAAGAACAAAGTTGACGTCAAGAGACGGGGAGGGGAGGGCAACACGGCGGTCATCAGAAACCGTAGAAACCGAAATCGGGTTCGGGCTCGCTGAGGCGCCGCGGCGGCGGGACGACCGTGGCCGCGCCGTGAAACGCGAACACGTCGCTGGTGGCCGGCGGCGAGCCGGACAGCCTGTTGAACACGGGTAACCGGCCCTCGGGTGACTGGGGCGGCGTGAACATGCTGTCGAGCATACCGAGGCCGAGGTCGGCCAGCGAACCGTCGCTACCGATGCCGGACGACGATGACGTGGACAGCGGCGGGGACGCGGGCGAGCCGCTGGGCTGCATGTAACCATCGCCCTTGTGCACGAAATGACACCGTTGCCCGTACGGGCAGTAGCCGGCCGAGTTGAACGAGCGGCACGGTTCCGTCTTGTACTTGGGGTGCCGGAACACCGGGCGCATATCTTGTTCGCCGTGCGCGAACTGGCACTTGTCGCCGTACGCGCACTTGATCTTCTCGATGTACTGACGGCACATTTCCGTCTTGTACCGCGAACCCATTGGCGGTTGAGGCGGCAGGGGCTGTTCCTGTTGTTGTTGTTGCTGTTGCTGTTGTTGCTGCATTTTACCGGAACCGCCGCCTCCCCCTCGACGACCCTGTCCCTGGCGGCGTCTCGGTTCGGACGACACAGATCCTTGGTTGCTACTGCCACCGGTACTGCTGCCCGTCGACGACACCATCTCTTGCCACCATTGTTCCACCTCCGCAGCCACTGCGCGCGGTCGATTCTGAGTCTGCGGAAAAACAAAACGAAAACGCATTGATTATTTACCGCACGCGAATCCAGACGATAACAACGATCGTAATCGCAATAACAATAAATTACACCGTTCATACAAGGGCACCCATAGGAAAACTCTCAAGGGGGGGACAACATTTTAATATATCTAACTATTCATAAATAGTTATGACCCACGATGTAGGAAGGGGTTTACAATTTTACATTACTCTATTACATTATATATATCAAACTGGAAGACTATAAAATAATTATTATTTAACCAATTTACCATAAAAGTAATTTATTGAAATTTTTTTTTAATTAATAATATAAATTGGACACTTAAAACGTTAGTTATATTTATTAAAATAATAATTTACAAATATTATACAAATATTATGGTTGTGTACACACAGACTCATATAAATACCGTATTTCTGGAAATACACAATATTTTAAGAATTGATAATTATCCATATAATAGAAACGAAAAAGCGTATTGTTATTTATAGCTGATAACCTGATTTTCCAAAATTAATTTAATTATTAAATTAAATTTTTAAATTCTATTTAAATAAATATTTTCTGATCATAGTAAACAATTTTCCAAGATTTTTTACATTTTCCAGGGGGGGGCATGTCTCTCCCTCCCCCCCCCCCATATGGGTGCCCTTGCGTTCATAGGCGCAACTAGGAATAGAGATTTTAGCACTCCTGTTTTTTATCCCGGATCTATATAATCTATAAGAGTTACAGGTTAGGTAGCATTTAATTTTATTTTCAGCAATTTTAGCACCCCCCCCCCCCACCAATATTTGAGCTCTAGTTGCACCCACGACGCTGTTCCCGGGCCCGTCGAATATTCATCGGCTGGCTAGCGTATCGTATAATAATTGTAATATACGCGCGACGGGGTTTGAACGCACGTGTGCGTGTAGGCGCTCTCCGACGGGCGACGAGTGGGCAGAGTTGCGAACAGGAGAAATCTAGCTGGAATAATAAGAAGTGTTCTTTTTCGACCGTACACAACGTGCCATCATCGTGTTACAACATTCGCGCACGCACACACGCACGTGTATCGCTTACGTGACATGTAAACGTTGGTGTGTGCGTGTAAGTTGTACGTTTAAAAACGATATTGTAACCGAGTTGTTTTCTCGATAAATACAAGCGCGCACCGCAGTCAAGGACTCCACGCGATTATTATTAGGTCCGTATAGATTTTTTGTTTGCCGCCGATTCGCCTGCACTAAAAATACACGCGACTGCCAGACCGCGGTTCAATGGCAAAAATAATACCCGTTCCGCGGTTAGACCTACCCCGCCACACTTCTTGATAACCGTTCATGCGTTTTCCGAAGCAAAATAATAATGATAATACGTTTTTTCTTTTCTTCGCAAAAATCGATCAACATACGTCGTATACCGTCTACCGGTAGACCGCAATGGTTGTTTTTTCAATAATCCCACCCTCTATGTCCGTGTAAACCATTAGAACGATAAAAATCATTCGCACCGGCGAAACGACTAATTAATCAGGGATTAGTGGTGACTAAGTTTCAAAAACCTAACGTGATAACTGTTTTTTTGTTTATCGTCATTCGGCTGGAGTAATGTTACAATGTGTAGCGAATTTTTTTCCATCATCAGTTTTCAACGACTGATAAAAAATTAATCAGTAAACGAATTATAAAAAACGATTAATTCACGTTTTAAATGTGTACACGTTTCGAATATTTCGAATCTAATGGGGAGTAGAAACCTCGAACCGATCAGTAATGTTCCCATTGCAAATATTAAAACTTAATGATATAAAATCACATTCTTTGTCAACAAGTCAACACGTAAAGTTTATTTATTTACATCGACTTACCATCACTAATAACGTTATTTAAACAAGGGAAAAAATAATAATTATGAACGAAAAAACAGTGTTAAGTATCATCGAATTTTTTACAATTATTGCTATTGATAGTGTGTTCTTGATACACTAGACGTAGAGTTTCATACTAACATACATACATTCACATCCGGTCATTATTTAAATACATTTACAGAGGAGGCTGTCTAGACAAAATCCTTGCACAAATGATCATGGTATTGCAAAGTAGACACTTTTTATGTGTTTTTTTTTTCACAAACATATTACGATATATTCTTGAAACTGAGGTGTAATAAGCAAAAAAATTAAATCCGACAAGAACCCATGCGAATGATATAATAACGTTTCCCAATTATAAAATGTCTTATAAGCGAAAATCTGGAGCAAGCCACATCACTGTTAACCTTAATGAATGTTCGATTCCATTGTTTTGGTTTGACTACTTATTACGATTAGGAATCCTAATGACGTGTTTTTTGGCTGGAATGATAATGTAATATTTACGAAACGTTTAGCGAGTTGTTTTACTTATTTACTATTTGACATTAACGTTCTTCTACATTGGTCATTTGCTGAATTATAAGCTATATCATATTAGTGTGATCAATACTCATAGACAAAGAAAACTCCTTTACAACTATGGATCTGTAAGCTTTTTAACGGCAATCCAAATATAAGGACGGGGTAAGTACTTTTTGTATAAATAATCAAACATAATGGTCTGGAAATAATTGATTGTTTTCATTACGTAGTTTAAAATATGTTCAGGATAAAACTAATAACAATTAAACTACCTATGTTAATAAGAGTACATTTTATTGCATGTTCACAAGATCATGTACAAAATTTACTTCCGATTAAAACGAACATTTTAAAATCAAAACAAAGTGTTTTTTTTTGATATTCGATTTTGTCATCAGCGCGCTTTGTTTTTTCGCCTTGTTTTTATACCGTGACTACATTCTTTACTATTATGTTCCTTTTTTTTTTTTTTTATGTATAATAACGAAAATATGCGCAGACACAGATATTACAACAAACGGACACGGTCAGTGTTTAGAAAGTGAAATATAACCGGTGCGGTCTTGAACACTGTTGCATAAGGCTGTTGCGATACTCCACACGCACACACAATATTTTCACATGTAACAAAAAAAAAAAAAAAAAGTTATCGTCGTTTATTGTGTCTCACACCGATAAGTCCGAAAAAAAATTACGATGACGTTTTCGCATTACATCAGTTTTCACTCTTTTAATCTATTTGTATTCTCGACAACGTCGTTCTCGTGGGAAACACGAATCATAGGCACACACATATACACTCACGATACACGTAACTCGCACGCGACTTTGAATAGGAAGAAGAAAGTGAAAAAAATGTATTATTTAAAAGTACCAATAATTTCTTTAACGCATAAAATTCCTCTCGAAACAGATGTGTAAGACCGAGCGCAAATATTTATCGGAGTAATCCGTTCGACGCAATCGACACCACTATCACCGCACACAGGGTGGTTGGCGAACACGTTGTATTAAATTAATGACGTTATCCATGACCGTTATGTTTGTGTGTGTATATTTACCCGTGATGTACACAAATGTATAATATATACGCAGTGCGCTGAGTATACAATACAATATACAGGACGGTCGTCTTGTGCGTACGATTTTATAAGTGACAAGGTAACGCGTGTACAGTTTCTTTTTAAAAGTTGCGGCTTCACGTGGCCCCCAATAACTGCCGGAATAACTTCATAATAATATGCCATGTGCGTACATTTTTTTTTTCTGAGGCCGTTTCACATAGACATTTGAAAATTTATCGTTTCGACTGCACGTTTTAGACGATACTTAAATCACGCAAGTTGTCTGCAAGACGCTTTTTGTTCTTCCTAACGTAACACACCACACGAGGTACTCCATACGTCGCTGTGCGAGAGGAAGAGCTGTGCGAGTTTCACACGTGTTATTTATATAGGGCACACTGTGTTCTAATGACCGGCGACGTGGTGACATATGTGCATGCGAGTGTCGGCGACTTCCTGGTTGTGTGGCGAATTTCCTTTCTCTTGTCTCTCTCGTGACCCCCGGGGGCAAGGACGTTTTCGATAACCGTCAATCGACCAACACAATTGGTTTTTTATTTACTTATTATCGTTTCACAAAAATATACTTCTCATAACACACAGTCGTTGACCGAAAAACGCGTCTGTGTATATTTTAACAATTCCGACCGACTGGCTATGTCCCACAAAAAAAAAAACCACGTGTATTTCTTCAAATATCGCCAGAAATAAACATTAATTGATCGTCATTAATCTATATCAGTAAACTAGCAAGTAAAACATATCCGAATTATAGTAGGTGTATTGTAATGCTATACGGAAATACAGAGAGGTATAATTGTACATTTGTATAAACACGTATCGATGATATAATAATGCTAATTGGAATTAAAAATATCCATTTTTCTCTCTTCATTTCAATGTTACGGTTTATTTCTGGTTTGAAATCGTCAATTGAAGTGTACAAAGTTATATTTGATTATTAAATAATTATTATGGCGTTAGAAATGCGACAGTAAGATTTATGAGAAAATTGTGGTTGCGTTCGGTGAAACATTGTCTTAACGTTTTTCTGAAAAGCAGAGAAAACCGGAAGACGTATAACGGAGGCGGCGCCTTGAACCGTGACCACTTTCGATTTTTACGAAATTACTCGAACGACGGTTAATATAGTTATTCTACTATTCGAAATCATTAATATTTATATAACGCGTTAAGCTTTTGATCGTAGCGCTTAAACAAAATAAACAGCGGAAATGTAAACACCCAAGGTGTAAGGACTATCGAAATTGATAAAACTCAACGGCGATGGATATTATATTATAATACATCGTCGAGTAAATAGATTGTATAATCTTTAGTCAATATATATCTCTGTATGTGCATGTATGTACATGATAAGTTCGGTATTGCCGTGACCTTAGTGTTTATCGCTCTAATACCTTTTGAGATTTTGAGTAGTATACACACGCATGAGTAAAATACGACAGATCAACGATGATTTTAAACATTTATTATACTTAGTAGTTTTTTTCTACGTAATAATGGTATTAATATCAGTGGCGTGCCAAGAACATTTACGCCCTACGGTAAAATACCCTCCTATTAATACAATATAGTCTCGTTTTCAAGCGAGGTTTATAAACAAGATGGTGATAAAAATAAAAATGAATTATCAGATTTCGAGACACTATCAATAATAGTACTGCTAATCAATATTTTTAGTGAAGATCGAGGCTAAAATATAATTACAACAACAATTATAAAAAATAAAGAGGATTTTAAATAACGAGACCGAAACTAAAACTTTACAGGAACGAATAGTCATCAAATCCCCCAAGGTACTAGAAACTAACTAGTGTACAATATCATTACGTATAAATACATATTTCAATAACTATTTAGTAATATGGTAAATAATAATAATAATAATAATAATACATCAAACACGTTAAACATAATATAACTAGAGGGACAATTGTGGCGGCCGGCCTTCAGACGAACAAAATGTCGGATAATGACAATTCTGTTCTTAGCCTTTAAATCAGTATAACACGCTGACACGCTCATTATCAGTAATGTTATCACGTGTGCGTTATGTGCCCGTTTGCACGTGTGCGTGTGGGGAGAAAAAAACCTGTTGGAGTATAAAATTTATGTCTGAACATACGGTTGTCGTGCATTGTGTATTTATGTGTGTGAAAAAGAAAAATATTGAGGGCGGGCGGGACGGACCCTTGCTGAGCACACAAGGGGAACAAACAGGTGGTTATTTCGGATAACTAGTACCCTCCCGAGATTCGGTCGACCTTTCGGAAGAATACTAGGACGAACGACAGAGAAAAAAACAAACCCACGGGAGGTTTTATATTTTCTACAACACGAGTGAGCTGGCAAGGTTTTGTTGTTATTGTGTTTTCGGAGCACAGACGCGGACAAAGATGCACCCAAATTATCAATAGGTCATATATATCGTATCGACCCTTTCGGGTCTAAAACAATTAAATTCGTATTGTATAAAATGGCGTGCCGATAAGGAAAACTAAATGCGATTTAACATAAATGAATTTATTCCTCTAATGTCTGTGTTCGGTTTATTTTTTTTCCCGATTATTATTATTGATATAATTTATTTCGGTAACACGTACATAACCTATTGGTCAATTAAATCAACGTTATCACATATCGACAAAACACGTGACTCCGCCGCGTAGTAGAAGACGCGCAAATCTACCGTCTACGCGGCCTATTAATAAAAATAATATACTGACGCACGTCGTATTGGAAAAACGTCGGCGAGGGGCCGGGGGAAAGACGTCAACGTTGTCAACGCGAACCAAGACGAAAAGGTCGTCGTCGGTGTCCGTCCGATAAGACGTTTTTCACGCAACGTACATTATCTCGTTGGCACACAGGTGCTCGAAGGGAAACGCGACACGTTTAAAAATCCCTTCGGTCATTGTTATTGTTTAAAGCGAGAACAAATGACAATAAAAATAAATTAAAAAATCATCCGAGAGCGCACGTGGTCCACGCGCGATTGTGTAACGTTGCGACGTTGTATTGTGCAAAACGCCGCACGCGCAAAGTACCGTTGACCATCACATCCGACGGCAATAATAATATTAACGTTACTAGGTGTATTTTATTTATAGTTTATTTTTTTACCTTGGTTACTGTTTCTCCACTGTTGAACAATGAGTTGGTCATATTTGCACTAAAATTTGTCAAACTTTTGGTTTCTACGTAAACGTGTCGACGCACTCGTTTTGTTTTTATTTATGTTTCAAATAAATAATAGTTTTCCCGTTGGCTAATTTCAACGTCAAGTGTCGCAAAAACCAAATCGGAAACACTTGTTATACAATTACAATATTACGTTACCGCGGTAATATTTAAATATATAAGCGCAATATTTTTCAAGTACGGTAACACACTGAGCGATTTCTCGTGCGGCGAACAACGACTTTTATACCGATCAACAGAGACGATCAAAAAAATAATATCAATTTAATAACCGTGCGTTCGGTGTTGCTAGGCGTAAAGTCGCTAAATAGACTGTACTGAAATCAAAAAGAAATAATAAAACGTGCTTCACGTGTGTTCGTTGGCCGCGAATGTGCGTACGTGCCGATCGCGTTATTCGGACTGACGAGACTACGAGAGCGAACGCGGAGAAGCAGTCGAGATCGGCAGACGGACTAGTTCGTTTCCTCTCCCCTCCCGCGACTACCACTTCCACCCCACGCTACTCCCCCCGCGATCCCACCGACGAAGTTTGCGTACGTTTTCTCTACGCCGCCTCACCATTACTATTATATCGCTCCACGCGCGGCTCCCTCTCACACTCCCTCTTCCCCACCTGTTCAAGGTCGCCGCCGCACAGATGATTGCGCACTCATATACCCTCGGCTCGTCACGTGGTCGGGCCGTCGACGTTCCCTCGGCCGCCCCCGCCGCCACGGCACCCTCCAGCAGGATGGCAACGACGCGCGCGCAACCGGGTGGTCGGAGGGGGCGAGGGACACGATGGCCGCGCGTTGAATCACGATATTTTATTACTTTGAACCGCTCTGGTAACGCACGGGCACGTTATTATTATTCTTTTACCCCACCCCTTTTCGTACATTTCGTATCAATGTAAAATGATGTGACAATACGTCCGAAAATAATTCGATATTTTTCGGTACGCTCGTCCCTGCCCCCGAGCCGACTCGTTTCCTCCCCTCACGCGTTGCCACGGTTGAACATAGTAGTTCTTTTCATTTTTTTTTCTTTTTTCTTCTTCGGTACCCATTTGTACCCCCGTGCGTGTATGTGCCGTGCACCGCCATCGCAATTCCGTCCGCTCGACGACACTTTTCTTACGAATGACGGTCACCACGTTTTCGGCACCATGTCGCAAACATGTCGCACCGAGAACGGTTCATTTTTGGATTCACGTACACGGTGCTCATGAAATATTACGTTTTTATTACACTGCCATATGCGTGGCGCAAAAGTGGTTGAAAACGTTTTAAGCATTTTTTCCACACGCGTCTTTTCTCCACAATGTACAATACATTTATGAAACTACTATGTAGTACTACCTGCTACACGTAGGAAAAGCCACACGCTATGAAAACGTTATCTTTCCGTTTGCAGTGAAACTGTACTGCGTACACGGTAATAACTTGGATTACTTATTATAATGATATTATTCCGACGATATTAAAATTATTTAAATATACGATGCGTTTCCCCATTATCAATACCGTCGAATGGTCGAAACGGAAGAGATATACGTGTACACTGTTATAATCATTACACATATATTCGGGTATACACAAATGTCTACAAAACGCAATGAATCAAGTACGTGAACAGTCGATCACAACAGTGATAACAACAATCGTACCGAAAATTGCAATGTACACGATACTATGCTTTAGGTGTTCTATATATATATATATAATTATTTCCTTAAATTAATTAAGTTTAATGTTGTAAGCCAAAATCGTATAACATTAAAATAAAAAAACATATTATATTAGTATGTATTATTTTATATATTATATATAGTTTATAGTTACCAGTTATGTATTCATAACCATTGGTATAGTATGAAAAAATAAAAAAAATAATACATTATTCAAACGTTGTAGTTTTTACGTATAGTTTATCATAATAACCTGTCCTGTAATATTCCATACTGTGGAAACTTGAGAATCATTTGCTTACGAACACCGGTGCAGTAAAATTATAATTTTGAATATTTTTATATTCATATATTTTAATATTTTATAATTTGTTTTTATATATTAGATTTTTATTTATTTATTTTTATGCTTTTGTTTAGACAAGAATACCTATTGCAGAGTGGTGTAGCCACATGTCCGTGTTGCATATTGTCTTACATTCTTACATCTTGGCTGGCAATCGAGTAATATCATCGATTTCTTGTTCAGTGATTTATACAAAAAATAAATTAAGCTTAGTGTGCAAAAATCGTCTGATTGATTTATCACATTATAAATGCATAATATTAAACGTCAAAATCTGTTTCTCGTTTTCTTTACAATATTCTTATTGTGTTAATTTACGATAATATCAATAAAATTCAATAGTAATACTTCATTGATTATTATTTTTTCCTATTGGTATACCCGTATTGTATACTATATTATATCTTCGTTAGTAGATCCTTACGCGTGAATCCTCGATCACGGATCATGTGTATAAATGAATACAACAATGATATTTGTATTGTTTCAATATTTATTTTTTTTGTCGACACTAATGACAAACCGTCGTACTGGTTGACAGTACCATTTGATTATTTGTTGTATTATTGACACAGGATATTATAAGAATATTTACGTTGAAGAATCAGCTGTTCCTATTGTTAACGTTTTACTGGTTTTACAAAAGGTGCGTGTACACTTGGTCGAATTTAAACACGATAGTGACTCCATTTCTAATTAACACACATATATATTAACCTAACTTTACCGAGTTCATGGAGTATAACGATGGAACATTTACATACACAAAGGGTCGGTCTGTGTATGGTTTACAGGTGGGGCCAACCTACAATATATTGTTGCTCTCAATAAACATGCACACAAACACAAAAAAAATAAATAAATACTTTTAAAAATTGTTTTACCATATCACAAGTGAAGTTTACCAAGTATCCACGTTTTATAGTTTTAAAATGTTAACAACAATCAACCTTAATATATTATCGTATCGCACTGTTCACTAAGCATAGGATATTATACATTTTATATAGCCTATGTTCTGCGGTTATACATCAGTGTCATGTAATTTTATAAAATAACAAATTATAATTATTTTATTAATTATTCTGAAAAAATAACATTCATTAATTGTTATTCATTAAATCATATTATGATAGCGAATATTATACGATATACGAGTTAAAATGTATAAGGCATACTAATAATTGCGTTGAGTGTGTTACTATTCATCTTCACCTGAACATAAAATAATCTTTATGCTATTACTTTGGATAAATAAAAATTATCAGTACCAAAAAATATGTACTTATACATCACGCCGCCATTAATTTATTATACATTCAAAATGAAGTATATTATGAATAAATAAAATCTAATTAAATGTATTTTTATTTTTTTCAACAAGTGATATCACTTGAGAATGTAATAACATTTTAAACCTTCTTAATACATTTTGTTCAAGTAATATTATTATTTCTGTATAAAAACAATCAAGTACCCAATTTAAAATATGTTAAACTATAAGGGGTTTTTTTTAAAATAATTTAACATTTTAATAATTTCTGGTTTTAGGATCGAAACCGGTTTTAAGTTAATCATTATATGATTTTGTATACAGTTTCCAAGGACGTATATACAAGGGTAAATAAAGAGGGACACTTGTTTTATAGCAGTATCCTTGGATTGCCTTTATATAGGAACATAAGTTATATGTTATGAAATAAAAAACTTTTTAACGGATTTTATAGTATGCATTTTAGTTAGATATAAGAAATATATGTACGTGAGTATCAATAACAAGATACCTATGTAACTGTAATTAATGAAAGCATGTATATTTCAAATTAGGAATAAAAAATAAGTAAAAACACTGAATCAATGTGATTTTATATATAAATGTAATCGCATTTTACCCATAAAAAAATTTTTCAACTCATAATACAAATTTGACCTCATGAGTAGAGCTAATAACATCATAATAAATAAATACAGTTTTGATGGTATAAGCATGATATATGGCGTATATAACGAAAACAAAATATCGCTATCAATTGAATAAATCAAATAATTATTTAAAAATTGAATTAATAATATTTATAATAATCCATGTTTAATAATATTGTTGGCATGCAATGCAGTGCAATGAAAACGTGTATTAATATAGTGTAATATTGTATTTACTTGAATTTTTGAAATAAGGTAGGTAGGTTTGTTGATATATATTGAGATATATGTTGATATGTTTTATGAGATAATAAATCAAAAATCAGGGTATATGGACTTTGCATGATGATAAATTATAATAAAAATTTTTAATTTCAACGATTAACGTCAAACACATAACACACGTGTTTTTATGTGATTATAAAATTCATTGTTTACTGCTTGTCTGTTTGTTTTATTAGAATAATCTTAATAAGGGGTACTCGTATTGGGAGAAACTAGAAAGTAATAGTAACACGATTTTTGGTTATTTTAACATTAAGTAAACGTTTCTTTTTTTTTTTACATACAATTATAGAACAATGCGTGCAGATTATTACGTATACGTTTAGTTAGTATTTAAATTATAATGCTTGAGAATGACGGATGAAGTGAAAGCAAAATCATCTGTCACTATTTTATGAATGTGAGCTCTTGAATTTACATCTATATACGTTTACAAAGTGATAGTGGCTACAACGAAGTAATCGTAGAGATTTATCCAAGAGTAAATAATCTTATTAGAGAAAAATAAACTAATACAATTCTTACCGTCAGTCGAACTTAATCAAAATGAATTGAAATAGATGAGAAAAAAAAGTGTGGATGATTTATTTTGATGTGTTAAAAATTTGTATTGATTCATATGTTTCTTGTAAATTAAGTTATGATTTATGAGTAGATCACCCCGCACGTATTTTTGAAATGAAAGTTATTTTTTGTTGTTATTTCATTGAAGCATACATATTATTTTTCATATTACCTATGTATTTTAACATTTTTAAAAATTATGAATATTTCGATGTTTTGATTTCACGATAGAAATATAGCACAAAAATATTTATATTGGTCTATTACATTAAACTGTGAGCAATTCAATGGAGTTGAAAGAAACGGAAAATGTATTAAATTATTAATAAGCAATTTTTAAATACCAACTAATTTAATAAGCTAAATTAAATTTAAACAGATACGAAATTACGATACGGAAATTTGTATAGAATGTGTATTTAAATGAAGTAATTAAAACAATGAGTGGAAAACACACAGGTTAAAAATAAATACCAATATTTTATAGCAATTAAATTATTAAAATAAAATAATATAAACGTTATGATAGTTTCGAATAAATGTATATTTTAATTTTAGATTTATCATTTTATTCCGATTTCTAGTGGTTTTGTTTGTATTATTGTTAGAAACGCATGTAAAAGTCATAACATATTACAT